AGCCGTCAGTGATATCATTCGAGACGTATGCCGTACTATAGGAAGTGCTGATCCGTCATCGTAATCAGCAGATAGGGTCGCTTATGCCGATGAGAAGAAGGCACGGGAAGGGAACTCTCAAGGAGTGACCCAAAAGGAGGGTTCCAAAGGGAAGATTCCGCTGGACTCGTGGGCGAAGGGGTACGCTCTCGTGTACGTGATCCGGTCACAGTCATCGGAGAAGAGGCTCGACTAGGAGGAGATCAAACGGGAGCTCGATCCAGACGTTATCAAGTTCATTCGGGGAAAAAGCAGCCATTAGCATTGATCGGGTACACTGAAGGGACGAAGGGGAGGCAGCAGTGGAGAAGAGCTCAGCCAAGCAGGAGTACTCCATCCGTCCGTTCCAGTTCCGAGCTCGTTCGGGAAACGAATAAGGCCGACACGTCCAAGGGGGACAATGTCGGCCGGGCTGATAGGGTCCGTCGTTGGACAGATCGGGAATCCTATCCATGATAATGTGTGCTCTTTGCAGCTGGAAATTCCTCCTGAGCTGACAGAGGTTTGTGACTTGATTTCGAGTAGTGATCCATCTAAGCGGCAAACGGACGTCACGGCTATTTGTGATCCGAGAGCGGGGATATCCTACTGGATTTCGTCTAATGAGTGCGAGACCACTTTTCCAACTAAGCCCACAACTAAGCCCGAATCGCTGGGTAGAATTGGCTGATGGGTCTAAGTGGGCAATCAATCGCAAGATTAGAGTTCATGCGTCGCTTAAGAAGCCGAAAGCACCCACAGTGGGCCCAGTCGAGTTTCTGGTGCTCCCGTATGACTCATACGGTATGAGCAAAGCAGGCTGGATGGGACTCCCATCATGGGAGCTACCGTCTACTCACTGGAAAAGATTTGGGAGGCTATCTGGGTCTTCAGCTAGATTTGGGAAGGGGTCTAGTCTCAGTGAGCGCCGTCGCTGGCGGGCGAGAGCACCATGAGACTCTCTGCGATTCTTCGAACGGAGACGAATGTGATCTTCTGAGATATCTCGGAGTGGATGCGCCGGGATTGGTGGCACAGCCAGAGCCAATACCATCTAGTACCCATCTCGTGCCTAAGCTAACAGAGGAACTGAGCCAGGTGAGCGAGCGAGTGCTGGATGAAGTGGCAGGTGGCCAACCTGCCAGGTCAATCAAGTCCTCGGAACTGCCAGGGTATCGTCTATTGACCGAAGAAGAATGGGACTTCGGCAGGGGGGCGTGTATCATCCTGGTGAGAGATAAGCGCGCTCGCCCAGGATAGGCGAATGATCGGGGATGATTGTATATACTCGTATATATTCATTCATTCGTATATCACTTGGGGACTGTGTTGATGTGATATCATCTATTTCCAAGCGCACATCCTCAGTTGCCGTTTTGCACTGTCCACTCGACTCTATTTCCATGCCTATGACTGTGGAGTTAAATTCCCAACAGAGTGATCGCGATGGAGATAAAGACAGTACCCGAACCAACAGTCGCTGAGAATATTCCACCAGATTAACCAGTCGTCGCAGGCACAGATGAGAGCTTCATCTGGGTCATTCTAGAGGTCAATTTAACTGAGACACTGATCATAGATGATGACGAGAGCAAACGATGCCGAGGGAAATGTTGAATAGCTGGCTCGATAGACCCTTGTCGAGAGAGTCAGGTGACGGCATATCTAGTACTCAAATACATGGCATGGTTGTCTCAATGTTAGACCGACAGGCTGCGCGGCCCACGGCCCATATGCTCATCTCAGTAATCCGCGCTCCCTCACTCAATATGCCATCAAGCCTTCCCAGTATGCCATCAGGTCTCCTCACTGAGCGAAACGCAACAGGGTCGCTTGATCGGTAGTCTAACAGCTCCAAGATCAAAATGTTTGAGGTTTTTGATACAACGAGTCTACAATATAGCTGCGAGCAACTCCCGGCTCGTAGCATGAGTTTTAGACTCCATGTTCGATCAACCTCCATCTGGAGCGATCCTACGACATAGGAAAGTAATACGCCGTGTCTCGAAATAAGTTTGATATGCTGAAGAGAATCATAGCGACTCGAAGACTCCACTCATCTCGCATCGACTAGAAATTATAGCATGGGAATAACAAAGTATAAGTGGTTGAGTGTCCGGATATTAAGACAACGCACCAACGAAAGTGTGCTCGCAATGTTCGCTCGCCCAGAATGTGCAGAATATGGAATCTCAAGCACCTATGGCGGACCAAGACGAATCATCCACAAAACCTCGTTAAAAGATGCTGAGGAGAGTTTACTATGGCAAGGTGATTTTCTCCCCGAGGAAGGTCACCGGGAAGTTTACGTTGAAGAATGTAGTCTTGCAGAAGGCCTTCGCTGTACCCTTAAGGTACCATATGCTGTCATTGCCCCTAGTAGTATCCAAGGTCAAATGGAGGGAACCACCGACAGTACCAAATTTAATCTTCTTGGTGACCGATCCTGTCACGTTGAAGCCCATATTCCCAGCATTTGTAGCATACGTATAGCTACTCTCAGTGGGTACATGCTCAATGTCCATAACTAGGAAGTTGTGAACATAGAGTTTGAGGTGCATATTGACGGCCATGTTCTTCTGCTCGCGACCGAGTAGCCCAGGCTTAGGGGATTCCACATCGTAGGTCGCCAAGGATAGGCTCCCGCTAATGCGTTTTTTTTCTTTACCAAAAGTTACCACCTCTGCTTCACCGCCAGCATGGAGGTCCAGACTTTTCGCAGTCTTGGCCGCGAACTCGGTTGTGAAACCAATAACGACATTGTCCTGTGGGTCATTGACATCGAAGAGATCAACAATGGCTGTCACTTCCTTCTCTTTACCAGTTGTAGTGCGCTTGCCGTGGAAGCAGTAGTACCTGCTTTTCGGGCGCTCATCCGGTGTACAACCCGGCGGATATGAGAAGCTACCATCAGCTGAAACTGCTGCTAGCTGAGGACCTTCAGGGTATGAGGCAATACGCTTTTCATCTTGCTTGATGAGCTCGGTCTCCAGCTCCTTTAGTTGGTTGATGAGCTCCGGTGTTAACTCTAGGTTGTCGATGCTACCGAAAAGGGGCTTCTCATCACCAGTTGAACGGCCGACCACGATGCCTTCAGCAAGCGAGATGAGGGCTATCGTAGCTACAGAGATCCTGACGAACATTCGTGGAGGAGTAGATGAAGCTGAGGTAAGCATGTTCAGTATGATACTGATACTATCTCTACTATTCGATTCGAGTCTCATACCCTGAGTTCGGTTTTGAGATTTTCACGATTTCACGAAATGACGCGGATGAGTCGTGCTGGAACGTCTCATAATTTGTTTCACGCGCAATGAGAGGTTGATTCGATTAATTAATACCAGGCCCCCAGTCTTGAAATGATACAATAATGCACAGTAGTAGTAAAATGGTTATTCTGAACACACGCGCAGGAGTGGCGGGCTTGGATTTCAATCAAACTGATATGTTTGGTTGCACACGATGCTTTTGGAATGTTTTTGGTCTTACACGTGCTCCCGGTATTGCATTGTCAAAGCACGGCGTGCATGTAATGTAGTATTCGTGTGGGCGTAAATGCCTAGGGCTGTTTACCACTCACGCAAACGATCACGACGAGTGAGCAGAAGGACCATCCTGCTTAGTAATGAAATCTGTTCTCGAGACTCTTTCAAGCCTCAAAATCCTGGGAGGGAGTCTGGCTCCTTCCAGGACTTCTTCGCGTGGGGCGCCACGTGGACTCATGGAGTCCACGCGCTATCGGTATTGCATTGTGAAAGCATGGCATGCGTGTAATGTAAAGTTCGTGCGGACCTAGATGCCTAGGGCTGTTTGCCACTCACGCAAACGATCACGACGAGCGAGCAGGAGTCCTATTCTACTTAGTAATGAGTTGTGTTCTCGAGACTCCTTTAGTCCTCAAAATCCAGGGAAAGGGTCCGGCTCCTTCCCAGGACTTCGCGTGGAGCGCCACGCTGACTCCTGGAGTCGGCGCAACTGCCCAGGTTGCGCCCAGCGCATCTGCTGGATCGCATCTTCCGCATACCGACTTGAAAAGTCGGACAAGTAAATCGATGGATGAGCAACCGATACCCCGGTTTTGGGACGTTTATAGTGTCGCAGGTGTCTACAAGACAGCAGGAGATTGGAGCATTTCCTCATAACATCTCTACAGGATCCAGAAGTCCTATATTGGATTAGGATGCTCCACTGACATTGTGTATGCGTGCAGCCTGTGCGTGCAGCCTGTCGCATGCGTGCTGCTCCATTGTTGTGCGTGCGGGTTGCCTGTTACCCTACACGAAGCTTGTGGAGTGTAGAGTGGTGCAAAAACAGGACCGTGACGCGCTCGCCCGCGAAGCTAGTTACTCTGAACCTGTGTATTTCGTGCGATGTTGTTGCTGCTGGTCCTAAGTGTTAGTGTGAGGGTTATTGATACCTTACTTTATCATCTATCAGTTGCTGGTGAGCGTGCTGGCTTTTTTTTGATCCCATGACGTCCATCGCGGCCTGCCTGGTGGAGGCGGCAGTTCCCATCGTACCTCCCGGAACAAGCCAGGATGGATGTAGCTTCCTGAAAAGACTGTATGCTCCGAGCTCTCTGGCGAGGACGACGGCACCACTTTCATAAGCCATTTGGGTTTCCTCAATCCTCGTGACGTTGCGATCTTCTTCAAGGCCTCCGATCTGAGAGCTGTAGCTAAGGCACGTGTAGGACTCTTGTCCGATCAGTGCAGGGATCATTGCGGCCTAGCTCCTGTCATGAAGACCTCATCTACTTCTTCTCCGAGCTCGAATGCAAACTCTGAGGGCGCAGCTGCGGCAGCGAAACGATTGCGTCTCTCAAGATTCCTGGACGAGGCCGATGAGGGATTCTTCGATCTACTTTCCAGCAACCTATTCCGAGAGAGTCTCGGAGTTCATCAAGGTCCATGGCGATATCAACGTAGACGGGCTCCCTACTCGAGAACAGCTCTCGGCCTTGAGGCCGCGCTGTTAGAAAACGACGTTCTGTACTGCGATTTTAAGGTATGGCAGACTAACCAGAGGTGCCGTTTACGCTAAGTCCGTCAATCTGTCTGGGTCATGAACGCTGAGGGAGAGTTCGAAAGATATCACAGCCTGGGTTGCCATCGTATGACATATGGCGAGACTCTTTTCCTGTTTTCCAAGTTTGGCATGCTGATTCTGAACGAGAGATCCCTGGGCAATTATGTGGTATACTCTTATACAATACAGTGTCTCTGCGATACTTTCTCGATGCATTGGAGCTGTTATGTGTATTATTGGTATGTTATTGGTATTATGGTATTGGTGCTGTTATTGATGGCACTAGTCTTCTAGTTGGCTCTTGGTACTTCCTTTGCATATCACAAAGGCCAACTTGGCCAGAGGTTGCGGTGGGTAGGCTTCGACTTCGAACTGCATCCATTTGGTGTATCGGTCGCGGTTCCAGGAAGTAAGCTGGCCGACGCGATTCCTCTGGTCCAAGAAGCCCTCTCATGTGGCTCACGCCCCCCCTTCCCTGTTCGCTACTCTGTAAAGTATGTGACAAGTGCTGCTGGATTGGACAAGGAGCCCCATTATGCTATCGCTGTTGTCCCCGGTGTGGTCAGTCTTCGGTCGGACGAAAACGGGAAGGGTCTCTGTGAAACCTATTCGTACAAGTTTGAGGTGGATCCTGGCCTTCCCTACACATGCGGCTACTGGATACACAGGGAAAAATACCTCCTTATTTGAATTCCGTCGTGTCTTCCACACGAGTTTCCGCCGACCAGGCCTACAAGCTGCGATAGTTGTAGACGCCTCTACATCTGGGTATGGTGGCATTCTGACGACGATCTCCGGAAGTTCGATGCGTCAAAAAAAAAGGCAACTCCAAGTTCCAAGCTCTCTGGGAGACTCTGGCAATTCTGATAAGCGTACGGTTGTGGAAGGATCGCCTTACATCAACGATCGGTCTCATCTGCCGGAGCGGCTCTCGGGCGGCTCTGGGAGCTCTCAGGTTAAGGTCGCGGTCCCCAGCAATAAATGTGGTTGTTAGTGAACTTGTGCTGGACGCAGCCATCGATGTCAGAGTATTGTGTTTACTCCCCGAGCATGTGCCGTCACGGCTGAACTTCCTGGCTGACGCCCTCAGTAGTCAGTTCGAGGGCGATTCGAAGCTAGCTGACCTTTGCGAGCTGGATGGTGTCCCTCGCGATAGCTGCCCCAAGCGCGACGATGCACTTTGGTTATTCGTCAATCCGTCGCAGCGAGGTCTGAGATAGCTGTAGAGAGCTTCCAGTGGTCTCAGTGTGGTATAGATGTCTCTACTCGTGGGAGCAAGATCTGAGATAGCTGTAGCAAGTGTCCAGTGGTCTCCACTCTTCGGAGCAATGCCTGAGGTAGCCAGAAAGTGTCCGGTGGTCTCAGTGTTGTATGGCTTAGCCAAGTGTCTGTAATGAGAGCGCTCAATGGTGGAGCACATCTTTGCCGTCGACTGAGTCGGCGGGGCCGTCGCTCTCCGAGACTCGGCGGTTCGGGCTTTGGTCTAGAGTGGTTTCAAGTTTCGTCCTTCATCGGCGGCATGTCAGAGTACCGCCTTCACGATCGTGGCAATGCCACCGAGGCCTTGACGACGGCGAGATCTCCGAGCCGACTACGGGTGGCACTGGCAGCCTACGAGAGATATACTTAAGCTCAGTCTTCTATGGCACCGATGAGATCGCGGCAACGACTGTGGCGCAATCTCACCCTGGCCCTGGGTCACGAGGAGATGCCACTCGGTGTCGAGTCGATTGAAGAGGTCCCGGCTATACTCATTCACTGTAAGTACAGGTCTGCATACTCGTATGTTCAGCAGGCTGCTATGAGGAGCGCGAAGAGAGTGTCCAGTGATCTCAGCGTGGCATAGCTCTCTCTATTCGTCGGAGCGAGCTCCGAGATAGCGGTAGGAAGCCTTCAGTGGTCTCAGTATGGTGTGGGTCTCTATTCATCGGACCAAGCTCTGAGAGAGCTGTAGAAAGTGTCCAGTGGTCTCAGTATAGTGCTGGGTCGCTATTCATCGGATCAAGCTCTGAGATAGCTGTAGAAAGTGTCCAGTGGTCTCAGTATGGTGCTGTTTCTCTATTCATCGGACCAAGCTCTGAGATAGCTGTAAAAGTGTACAGTGGTCTCAGTATGGTGTTGGTCTCTATTCATCGGACCAAGCTCTGAGATAGGTGTAGAAAGTGTACAGTGGTCTCAGTATGGTGTTGGTCTCTATTCCTCGGACCAAGCTCTGAGATAGGTGTAGAAAGTGTACAGTGGTCTCAGTATGGTGCTGGGTCTCTATTCATCGGACCAAGCTCTGAGATAGCTGTAGAAAGTGTACAGTGGTCTCAGTATGGTGTTGGTCTCTATTCCTCGGACCAAGCTCTGAGATAGGTGTAGAAAGTGTACAGTGGTCTCAGTATGATGTTGGTCTCTATTCATCGGACCAAGCTCCAAGATAACTGTAGAAAGTGTACAGTGGTTTCAGTATGGTGTTGGTCTCTATTCCTCGGACCAAGCTCTGAGATAGGTGTAGAAAGTGTACAGTGGTCTCAGTATGGTGCTGGGTCTCTATTCATCGGACCAAGCTCTGAGATAGCTGTAGAAAGTGTACAGTGGTCTCAGTATGGTGTTGGTCTCTATTCCTCGGACCAAGCTCTGAGATAGGTGTAGAAAGTGTACAGTGGTCTCAGTATGATGTTGGTCTCTATTCATCGGACCAAGCTCCTGGAGCTTAGCTCCAAGATAACTGTAGAAAGTGTACAGTGGTTTCAGTATGGTGTTGGTTTCTACACATCGGACCAAGCTCTGAGCCGAGTGCCTGCGATGAGAGGACCTAACGGTGGAGCATATTTGCCGTCGACTGCGTCGGCGGGGCCGTCCTTCTCTGAGGCTCGGCGGTTTGGGCTATTGTCTGAAGAACCCCACCTTTGAGTGGTTATAAGGTTGCTCCGAGAAGTGCAAGCCGCGGCTTTTCACTACATAGTTGCGGAGAAACAAACCATGAAGCGAGCGAAGTGATTCTGTTCAAGGGTTGGCCGGCGAGACATCTCTGGTCCCTCACCGCAGCACAGCTCGCTGCTATAAGGCGTAGTACCAACGGTTTCTTGGGCGAGATTCGCGCAGCTGCATACACGATGAGTGCTTGGTTCATGTTACGTATGAATGAGCTGGTATAGCTGGTGGAGATCAACGATATCAACACAGATGAGGCCAGTGGTTGGGGTTATTGTGCATATCCCCCAGAGCAAGACGGATCAGCAAGGCAACGCAGT